GACCACGGATCAGTGTCCCCAGGGGCCCCCTGGACGCCCCTGCACGAGACCCCCCAAGTTTTCCGGAGCACCTCGAAGCCTTTGCTGGGCCTAGGCGACGGGCCCAAATCGGTCAGGAGAGTGGCCGAACGGCCACACGAGGGCTCCAAGAAGCCCCAGACACCCAGCAGACGCCCGAAGACGACCCAAAGGGGACCCCCAAGAGGCTTCCTCAACGCAGAAAACATTGATTTCCTATGGTTTCTGTATGGCTTGGGACATGCTCTGTTCTTCGGTCTTCTGGGCGTCCGAGACCGCCCAGGAGGCCCGGAAATCTACCCCAAACCTACCCGAAAGGGCTTCCAGGCAGTCCAAGAGAGCCCCAAGACGGCACATCAGGGTTCCAACTTATGGCCCGAAGAGCGCCCCATGACGGCCCAAGATGGCGCCGAGACGCCCCCCGAAGCATTCCAAATCTTGACCTGCTCGTTCAGGAAGTACGCGATTGGAAGCAAGGTGGCCCCAGGGAGCCCCCTGAGGCCCCCGGAAGGCCGCAATCGCCCAGTCGTCCCGAGGAGACGCAGACGTGGAGCAGGGCGCGTGGATTAGCGGCGGGTTCCGTCTCCAGACCTAATCGACGCGCTGCGTCGCCAAATCAGGCGGGAGTGGCCCTACGCTTCGGGAGGCGAGTTTCCCCATTTCCCCTCCCCCCCCGCGCCCACGTGCCAGTTTCACGGATGTGTAATTCATGTTCGCTCCTTTTCACGTTGGCGCGGGCGTTCGAAGTTTACCGCCACAATCGGCCGATATCGAGGAGCTTGCGCTGTCGGAAACCCGCGTCTGCTCTTGGTCGAGCGTTCCGCTGTCTGTGCGGTGTCAGAGTCATCGCGACTTGGGCCTGTCGCTGGCGTCGCCCCAACATACGAAAGGACTATGTGTGCGTCGCCCCCCAAAAGGGGGGACGCGCACACCGAGAGATCTTGCGGTACATGCGTCGTGGCGGGCGTTTTCTGGCCACGCCGCCCAGAAAACGATATTCCACAAGACGGGTATACGATATGTTCGGGTCAGGCGCACGCCTCCGAGGAGGACGCACAGTACTACAACCCCCGTCAAAATTAGCCTCCAAAATGTCCTACGTGGCTGAACTGTTTGTGGGGAGATGTTGGACAGAGCAGCGATGCCTGCGAGGTACTTGTATGCGCTGCCCCTCAAATGTCGGTTGTCATCGAACTTCCGAGTCGTTCCCGGTCAGACCACTTTTGCCCTGGCCCGGACATTGGAGGGGCGTTGTATCGACATTGAAGGGCGCGCCGACATCGCAGGGGCGTATTCGCCGTTTTTGAGGTTAATTTTGACGAGGGTAGTAGTATGTCATGGTGCGTCCCATGTCGTGTGCGCGACTGTTGTCTGACTCCCACTGGGAGCAGATCGGCCAGATCAGATTTCTGACGATATTGGGCCGATCTCTGATAGGCTGGCACGTGAGCCCTGCCGAGCTGGGATGGCTCGCTCGGTCGGAGGTGCCGGTCCGAGGCCTTGCTCACCCAGACGTACCGCATCGGAGGAGAGCCCGCCTCTATTGTTCCCTCCCCTGCCCCCCCCCTCCCCCTCCCCCTCCCCTTCCCCTCCACTCCCCTCCAGAGTGGGTCCTCGTCCCCAGTTCGAGGGGCCAGAACTGTTAAGGAAGACAAGGCCGAGCGGGAGACTGGGCGACGGGGGACGGAGGCAGTGCGCCAACTTCTGCCCTGGATGGCATCAGGGGCTGCGTTTTTTCGGCAGCTCGCACGCCAGGTGGGGCCAGATCCTGGTGCTTTTGCCTGGAAGATGACGGCCGCGGCTCCCTCTCGAGAACCGAAAACGAGCAATTCACTGATCGACGTGTCAGGGTGGGGGTTCTGTCCACGTTTTGCTAAAGGAGATTATGTCCAGCCCCGAGCGCCGTGCAATTCCAAATCTGTATCAGCAATGCCCCGAGTTTGGTGTAGGCGTCTGCAACGGAAGTGTTTGCTTCCGGCGCCAGAATGGAAGTGTTTGCTTCCGGCGCCAGAGTTGTTCCACATGAGCTGGGGGCAAGGATCGTCGCATGTCCACGCATAGTTTCAGAGTCCCACATCGCGTCCTCAATTCTGGTGGCAGGATTTCTCATCTCGGAGGAGGTCATTGTTGACGCCGTCATCGCCGTGGGCATCTCGCTTGCGTTCGCGCAGACGGTGCTGTACTTTAACGATGGCGACTTTCGCCTGCAGTGGCTCTGCCTGAGGGTTGTGTCGTGACCTTTCTGGTCTCATGCCCCGTCACATATCGAGTGCAAGCCGACCTACACAGCAAACGGCATGATGTGAAGATCTGATGTGTTCTGATGTGTTTTCTAAACAGGATACGGCTACTGAGCAGGTCGCATGCCGTAGCCTGGCCCACTGGTCCACTCATCACGGGCGAGCCGACCGCCTTTCATGCAGCAGAACTGCTGGAATGAGAACACTTTTGCTCTCGTCTCGCAGTAAGCGTGGTGGGGGGTGTCCCCCCTGGTGGGGGTCAAGCTGACCCCCGTCGGTCGGACGGGATGGTAGGGCGACGAAATCGGGACATCATCCACTGGCTGGGCCCTTCCTGGGCCCGGGAGCTGTGCACACAGACGCCCTCCCGGCCAACCCAGGAGGCCCAGTGGGTTCCGGCATGGGTGTGGCCAGGGAGCAGTGGAGACGTACAGCTTCCGTCGCCCACATCGGGGGGACCGCCTCTCCTCGTCGGGGCACCGCGCCACAAATGCGCCTTCTGCGGGCCAGATGCGTATCCACACCCACTGCGTCTTGGAGTCTCAGGCTCCCTTCCCCAGAAGCCCGAGGCGCAGCGGATACATACATATACATATACATATACATATACATATACATATACATTTATACACATATATATATATATATGTATAAGAATGTGCCCATACTCACTGCGCCTCGGCCTTGTGGCGCCCCTTCCCGCAGAGTCCAAGACGCGGTGGATAGTGGATACAAACCTTGCCCGCGTCTTCGGCGCACGAGGGGCCACCGCGGCGGGGGTCGGTTTGTCGCCACCAGCGGGCGCGACGGTCCCCCAGGGCACGGTAGGTTCGCGCCGTGTCTACCAGCGGCGGTCGAAGAAGAAACAGCGCCATAAAGATCAATTTTGGGCGCTCCGCGCGGATTTCTTGGATCCGCGCTCCGCGCGCCAGGGAGGGGGGTCCAGCGCAGATCCAAGTAATCCGCGCGGAGCGAAACAATTTTATGTTTATGGCATGTTTCCCTTTTCCAATGGGTCGATGTTGAACGATCTGACGTTTCGGATGAAGGGCCGATCATTCAAGGCTGAACGATCCCCGCGGTGTTGCAATTCGGAGCAGATATGGTTTTCCGTAAGCTGTCGTTGGCGCGCCTCGTAGGGCAATGTCGCTAAAGGATCGGGGATTCAGAGGAGGAAAAGGTACCCATGCCGCTACCCGTACTTTGTTTTCGCCTTTTAGGGCCTCTTGGAAGGCCCCTTCGTCGCCACCGCTGGATTCGCTTTGAAGCTTTGGTCAGAACGCACCCTGGGAGAGGTCCGTGGACTAGCGGTATGGGTACCGTCTGGTCTCCCCAGGAATCCGCACGCCGCGGGGCCAACAATGGGCTCCGTTCCTTGCCCACGGATCTTTGTGACAGAGCTTTGACTTTAGCTGGGATCGAGGCTCCAGCGGCAGGCGTGTCGGTCGGCAGATGGAGGGACGAAGAAGGTGTGGAGGGTGACCATGTCATTAATCGTATTTCGGCACGTTGTTTCTACAAGTGGATGGGAAATGGGCTATGACAGTGAACCGTGAGCCCGCTCATGTTTGAGGGGGCGTCAAAATTCGCGGACTGCGCGTTGCGCAGGCTAATTTCGTTTGTGATGGTTTGCGTGACTTACTTGTAGCTCCAGTTGTTCCTGCGCCACTTTGATAAACTGCAGTCGCAAACCCCTCAAGACTAAAACTTCAGTCGGTATGTGATGTGAGTTCTGAGTTCGTCAGGGTCCCGAGTCTGGTGCTCCCAGTCTGGCCTCCCCTTCCGGTGGTCAGCGCATGATTTGTAGGGATGCGAGACTGGCGCGGTGTGGTGTGACAGGTTGTGTTGTCATGTGGCGTGCTGCTTTTGCATCATGCGGCGCGGCGGCCAAGACATTCGGTAGGCGTGGGCTAATCACGACGGGCGTGTACCGAATTGCAAGGAGGGGGTGAAGGAGGGCGCGAAATGTATGAGGAAAAGGAGGAAGGGGGTGGAGCATGATCGCAGAGCTGGGAAACACATGGTCGCGATGTGGGGAACACGCAGCCCCCCCCCTCGCCCGACACCTCCTGTGCGCGACACCATCTCTCCTCCTGCGTCCCTTCCTCTTTGAAATCTATCCTTCAGATGTGTCGGTAGGGCGGGCTGGTCGTTTCGCCTGAGATGTGCGAAAAGTTCACGGCCCTGAAGTCTGCCAAGTTCAGCCTTTTTACGTACGGAGGGCGAGTGATTTTCAAGACGTCGATACCACTTCTTGGGGCGCCCACAGTCGCCTTTGCAAAATCAAACAAGTACGCAGATGGAGGGCGATTCATGTTCACTCCATGTATATGTGTGTATCTATGCATATTATGTGTACATGTTGTTCTCGCTTTAGCTTTAGCGGTGCGCGCATTCATTCTGAATGTCTCCAGCAATTGCACGGATGAAGGGGAGGTCGTTGTCAACTTGTGGCACTTGCCTCAGCCTAGCGCACTTTTGTCTTGCACGTTCGCAATCGTCACACAAACAAGGGTTGCGTCCTTTTCAAGATGGAGCTCTCGCTTGCGACGTGCCCGAAGGGTTCGAACCCCCTCCCCCCAGAATTGAAGGGGGGTGGGGGTTCGAACCCCTCTCCCCCCCTGCCACGGCGCCGCCGCCTGAGACATCCTCGTAACCGCGGCGCCGGGATGCTGGTCTGGCGTGGTTCGGGCGTGGTTCTGACGGGGTTCTTGCGCGCCGCCTTGCTCCTTGAGTTCGGGAGCAAGGCGACGCGCAAGCATCATAATCGAGTTGCGTTTCGACCCGTGTGCATCCCAGCTCACAAACGCGCCGTGGCGAAAAACAACTCGATTTGCATTCTTTCGCACCGCCTTGTTCTGGAACTCCTGGAGCATGGCGGCGCGCGAGAAGCCGCCGCTCGAGACATCCCACAATCGCGGCGCCATCCTTCGAGACATCCGCACAACCGCGGCGCCGCTTCTCGAAACATCCTCGCAACCGCGGCGCCGGCGCTCGAGGCATCCTCATAATCGCGGCGCCGGCGCCCGAGACATCCGCATTACCGCGGCGCCGGCGCTCGAGACATCCGCACAACCGCGGCGCGAGCGCTCGAGACACCCGCCGCACTACCTCGGCGCTGGCGCTCGAGACATCTCGAGACATCCTCATAATCGCGGCGCGGGCGCTCGAGATTTCCTCACAACTGCGGCGCCGCCGCTCGCGACGTCATCTCAACCGCGGCGCCGTCGCTCGAGACATCCTCACAATCGCGGCGCCGCCGTTCGAGTCGCCGGGAGGGGGGGCCGGAGGTGGGGGGGGGATCCGAACCCCCCACTTTGGATCCCATGGGGGGGGGATTCGAACCTCCTTCCCCCTTCCAAGCGCTCACAGAAAGCGCTCTTTCTTTTGCGATCTGGATTTGAATATTGTGCAGCAGCATTGATTGCTTCTGCTAATCTCAACTGGGGTACTGGTTGAGATGCTTTCAGAGTCTGTAACAAAAGTATATTATAGCACAACAAATGCACGAATGGAGGGTGGCTCCTTCTCAGAAGGAGACCTTCGCTGGATAAGTTTCCATCTCTTGGCGTTCCCAATAGTGAAAAACATGGATGAAGGGCGGTTGCCCTTCAAAACGGAGCTCTCGCGTGAATGGCATACTTATTTGGCGCTCGTGTTTTGATAAGGCGGCCCTCCCCGTAGTGAAAAGGAATGTGTGTATGTAGGGACTTTTGGGGAGGGGCTTCATGGCGGGAAGGTATATCGTAGCACCGTTGAGGGGTTCTCCTCCTCCTCTACCCTCCGAACTCCTCTCTTCAAGCGCTGCAGAACAACAAACACCTCCCCCTCGGCACGCCTCGACCGCCCACCCTCCCCCTGACCAGACCCCACCTCCCCGCTGTCTTATCCTTTTCCGCTCCTCATTTCTTTTTTGCCTCCTCTTCTTTCTCGCCTTCCTTCACGCGTCTTCTGTATAAGTTATCCCTCCTCGTCGGGGGCCCTCTGTTGAGACTTTCCGAGTCTGACCCTGAAGTTTGCAATCCGAAGCTATGCGGATGGAGGGCCGGTCGCTTTTAAAATTGCCCCTTCGCCTGAGACTCGCATCGGTCCAACGATTACAAGGATTGAGGGCGTGGCTTTCATCATCGTGTTCTCGGTTGATTTGTCCTGGTAACTTGTGATCAGCAGGATCAGCTTTCTTCTATGGGGGAGACTCCCTTTCAGAATCGCGCTCCAGCTTGAGACGTCTTCTTGACTATTACCCGTATGCTGGATTTGCGAGTATTCACGTTGGTAGAGGGCGTGTGGCTTACAACTTGTTGTTCTCGCCTGAGATGACTACGCGAGTACTTAGTTTTAGCTCCTCCAACAGGTGCACGGATGGAGTACGGCAAGTTTTCAAAGTCTTGTTTTTTTTTCTAGGCGCCGCCGACAGTATTCTTAACAATCTGTACTACACACGAGGTGCGCGTGTGTGTGTGTGTCTCTTTCGGGCGCAGCTTTCAAGCGAAAATGTACCAAGCGAGGGACAAATTATAACAACATCCACAAAACGATCGTCTTGAATCATCTGCGAACGGCCATGCCCACGGGAGGATCATTAAGTGATGCTCACCTTTCATTGTTTGCAGCGGGCGCAGGTGTGCACCACGGGCCAGGTTATCGATATACCATGATTTAGGTCGCGCGCTCGGTAGCATCATTGACAGGCGGATTCCACATAATGCCCAGGTGCTCTTCCAAATTGATCTCTCATTGGGCCCACAGCGTGGGTGGTTCCAGGTTTTGCCGTCTGGATTTGTTCCCCCAGTGTGATGACGAACGTGTACCGCGCAGTGTGGACGAGACGGTATTCCGTAACATTGACAAGCGGATGTCACCTAATGCGACGGGCCACGCCCGCTTTGTTTCAACGACGTTTCCGCTTCTATCCCTGTGCCATTGCTGTTATAATTTCCACAGGGATGCCGTGATCTTGTCATTGCGGTGTCTTCACGTGCCGCACTTTGCTGAAGGGCCGTTGGGTGAGCCTCAAGCACTGAGGCAAGGCCACAGGACTATCTCCGCATCATCATTACTCCAGCCCCCCACACGTGGCAGGGAGGACAGGGAGCAACAGCAGGAGGGGGCGAGGGAGGAAGAGGCGGGGAGGGGAGGGGAAGAGGAGGCTGAGAGCGATTGGGGCTTGCCCCACAGGCTCGACTGGTCGAACCCGCTGTCCCTGGTCATCTTCTCCCTGACCATCTTCTACGTCCTGGAGGCCAGGACGCCCCCCCTGCACGGCCCGCGGTGGGACCGATGCGCGACGACCGACCCGCTGGCCCGGAAATGCGGGAGCTCGTGCTGGCTGGCGCGCTTGGCCGAGGGCGTCAGAGAGGCGGTCGCACTGCCTGGGTGGGCCGCCCCTGGTGGGCGCTGCCCCCCCTTGCAGCAAAGCCGGACGCTCCCAGCAAGGTGACGAAGAACAAGGTGCTCCCGCTCCTGCAGCCCCGTGGGCCCTCTTTCCTGGTGCACTACGTATGCAGGACGAAAGATTTTCCCCTTGAGGTGCAAATGGCGATGATGAATTGGACGTTAAACCGAACCCCCTTCCCCCGTAGAATCTTCACACGGGCAGGTTCTGGGGTCCGCGGATCCGATTTCTTCCGGTTCCCCGTTTCAATTTAATAGTATATATATATATATACACACATAACGGGGTAAAAATCGGGTCCGCCGTAAAAAAATCAGACCGAAAGCGGATCCAGCAAGTCCGAAATCTTGGGGATGTAGCTCACCTTGTTCTTCGCGCTTCTGGCGCCTGCAGCCATGGTTGGCTTTGGTCCTCGAGTGTGGCCGTGGTGCCGTCCCGCGTCCACTGCCAGGTCACTGCGGCCCCGGTTTGCCGCTCTGGCGCGCTCAGCCTGGGCGGCGCGTACAAAGGGGGGGAGGGGGTGATGGGCCTGTTTTCCACCACCACCACCACCATAAGATGGAGGGGGGAAGGAGGAGGACACCATAAGATGGAGGGGGGAAGGAGGAGGACGACGAGGAGGAGGAGGACGAAGAGGAGGAGGAGGAGGAGGTGGAGGAGGAGGTGGAGGGGGAGGATCCCTCCCCCTCCAACTTATGGTGGTGGTGGTGGTGGAAAACCGGCCCATCAGGGGGGAGGGCTTCATAGAAGGAGGCTGCTTCTTAGAAGGCGCTGGCCTCAAATCTATAGATAGGGCCCGCGCCTTTTAAGACGCAGGGGTGCTTCCAAGAATCCCTCCCCCCTCCCCCCACCCCCCTCTTGCGCGTGGCTGACCTTCAGCAGTGAGTGCCCTCCTTCTCCCTCCAGTTCCCGGCGGCCGCTCTTACCCCCCGCGCGCCCTGTTGCTGCAGCAGGACAACATGTTAGTCTTAGGTCGGGCCTGTCTCTCTACAGGAGGAAAATTCCGAAATAGTCCAAACATGGCTTGGGGACGATTAAAACAACATATATTTAGGTATTTTTGAATAGTTGGTGATTTTCATTTTTCGCCCAAAATCCGCCCGTGGGGGGGCATGCCCGACCTAACTCCAGTCCTCTGCGGCCGCTCCTCCCCCCCCCCCCGCGCGCCCTCTGTTGCAGCCGGACAGCATGTTAGTCGCGCGTCCCCGACAGCTCGAGCGCCCGTGCGGATCGCCTCTGCCGTGCGACCTTAAAGACGAAAAGAAGATCGCCCCCCCCCCCCCCCCCCCCCAGAGGCGACCTCGAGCGCCGAAACATCTGATGGTACTGTGGAGGCCCATGCCAAGAAACGCCCTGCTTGCCTCCAGGGTGCCCTGGGTTTCTTGGGTTTCGATGGTTTTGCCATGGAAAGCGCGACGCTCCCACACCAAAACTCAGGGGACGTCCTGGGGTCTCAGGGTTGGGTTTCCTGTGGAAGGCTTCGGGCCCCTGCTGTATAGGCTCCGTAGCGGGCGCTCTCTGGCCATGCGGCCCGGGAAGCGATGCACTGCAGCACGCTTGTGCTGTGCGTTCGGGACGGACGCGCGCCTCCAAGGAGGACGCACTGTGCTGGCAGGTCCTTGTGCATCCCATTGATCAGGAGGGAAAAGAACACACAGACACAATGAATCGTCGATTCCCCAGAAAATGTGGGGAGTGGGGGGGAAGGCAGCAGCACAAAAAATATGGGAATATATGGGGAACCCCGTCATTTGTGTCTATTTATTTGTGTGCCCCCGGGCCCCTTTCATATACACCGCTCCTGGGCCCCGGATGGACCAGCCAGGGGCGGTGGATCTGAAGAGACCTCGCCGCCCTCGCCGGGAGGCTGGCCTTCCTCTCCCCCCCACGCCCCTTCCCGGGGGCGACGATAGGGGCGATCAGCCTGGGAGCCTTTGCGAAGACATAGATCATCGGCGCACCTGCGTACACGTATTGCCCTCACCTGGGCTACTCGCCCCTATCGTCGCCTCTGACCTTCGGCGCGCAGGAGACGGGTCCAGAGGATCACGAACCCTCCAAAAATTTGAGGTCTGATCTCCATCCAGCCACGCGCAGGGGAGGGTGATTATGAGGGGGGGGGAAGGTTTCTTGAAGCGGGGCTGATCCTTAGCAGGCGCGGGCCTTATCTACAGATGTAGGGCCGGCGCCTTTTAAGGAACAGCCTCCCTCTAAGAAACCATCCCCCTTTGTGCGCGCCGCCAACATCCATTCTGGATGCTTGTGTCCTTCATTCAGGAGGGTCTTCGCCTCCAGGCGGGGAATTGGCAATGACAGAATCTTAAACCTTCGGAGGACTGTGCGGAGTTCTCGGATCGGCGCTGGGCCCCCTTCCCTGGCGCGCTTAGCGGCCGCCAGGGGCGGCGCAGGATGCGCCGCCATGGGGCTCCAGGGCCAGCCGATCCGAGGAATCCGCGCAGATCTCCGAGTTTGTACGTTTATGTCGTTACTTCGATCCCCTGTCCAGAATCCTGCGAGTTCCAAGACCACCACCTCCATTCCCCCCCCGTCCTCCATCCTCCTCTTCCCCTGCTCAGGTGGCTCTGGCCGTGGCCGTGGGGACGGCCCGTTCGCCTCAGCCCCCAGCCGTCACCCGTGTGCAGCGGGCGTCGGTGAACATTCTGTTTCTTCCGCCAGAGACCACTCGCGTGCGATCGCCCGCGTGGCAACGGCGGTCCTGCCGAGCGCGCGTGGCCGCCCGCCTGCTCCTGTGGCAGGCACGCGCCCGCGCCCTTCTCGCTGGGCATCACGGCGAACACACGGCGGGTGGAGGAGACCGCGGCGCGATGGCACCTGGCGCTGCGGAGAACCCCCGCCCATGGGCGTCGGCAGCAGGAGGCGCAGACGGGGTTGCGGATCGCCAGTGGGCGTGTGTCGCGACCAGACTCTGCGGCTTCAAGACCAACTTTGCCTCGAGGTCGACATGCTGGAAGTGTGGGCGGGACTGGCAGGGGCGCATGCCTGCTGGAGCAGAAGCGCCTGCACGCACAAGGTCGGTCTCTGCTGCTGCTGATCGCCGTCGCCGTCGGGATCGTGACAATGATGATGGAGAGCGGGTGGAGCGGGCAAGGGACCAGCTCGAGGAGCCCCAGGCCGTGGTCCGAGCCCGCAAGGGGCTCGCCGCTCTCCGTCGCCTCAAGTATGACGAGGATCACCCGCTGGTCGTGGCAGCCGCTCGAGAGGTCCAGCATCTGGAGGCAGAGGAGCGGAAGACTCGCCCACCTGAGGATGTGCTGCGTAGCGCCCAGGATCGCCTCGCCATCAAGTCGAAGGAGAAGCTCGAGGTGGACAAGCAGCTGGCGGAGGCGGAGGAGCGCATCGCGACCCTGCGCCAGAAGGCCAGCGCCTTGTCGGAGGACGTGGAGGTATTGCAGAAGGAGGTCATGGAAGCGCGGAAGGCCTTCACCATCGCCACGGCAGGGTACCAGGGCATGGACCTCGCGGCCGTGGCGACCAACCTTCTCAACCTCCAGACGCTCATCAACAATGCGGAGGGCTCCGTGGCGTCGGGTCAGGGCTTGCAGCTGCTGCAGTCGATCCACGCGGAGGTACAGGCCATGGGGGTGGCCTTCCCTGCCTCGCGGGCTGCGGCCTTGGCGGCGGACGCCGCTGCCTCGGGCCCCCCTCCGCCGAGCAGCACTCAGGCTGCTCAGGCGCCACAGCTGGGTGGTCCTGCGGCCACAGCTGGGACAGCGCCGCAGGCGTTGGGGGCCCCCGCAGCGGACGTGCCGCCCGCGAGGGACGACGTCGCCATGGGTGGCGCGCCCCCAGCCGCGGCCACGGCGTTTCGCCCTCCCCCTAGCGCCCCTGGGGGAGGACGCGGGGCAGCCGCGGCCAGTGCAGGTCCACCGCAGCCTTAGCTCACGCAGCTGGGCTAGGCATCGTGCGCCGAGGAGGGCGAGCAGGAGGCAGATCACGCTCGCCTCCTTCAATGGCTCATGCTGGTACAGCTGTCGGCAGTTCCTGGAGCAAAGCACGGAGGGCATCATGGTCGTGGCGGCCCAGGAGCTGCGTGTGGATGCTGGGGATCTGCAGGCAGCGACGAGTTGGGCTTCGCGTCATGGCTGGAAAGCATATATTTCGGCGTGCCGTCGGTTGGAGTCAGGAAAGCCTAGCGCGGGAGTAGGCTTGTTCATCCGCGATTTCGTATCGACACGATTGTTGGAGATGCCCGACGGCATGCAGAGTTTTGAAGTGGTACCAGCGTGGTGTGTTGTAGTTCATGCAGATCTTGGCCTACCTGGGGGAGTGATTCTCGGCTCTATGTATGCAGAATCCGTGCCAGATCATGCGTACCTGTCTCGCAATTTTCAGAAGCTGATGCGCCTTGGGGAGGTGCTCAGGTATTTTGCCAGCCCGTTTCTCATTGCAGGTGATTGGGACACCGCGGCTGATGAGCTCGAGGTAACAGGCCTCCTCGACATCTTCCCAGCCCAGTGCGCGGTGCCTGGCGGAGAGGGCACATGTCGCTCGCCGCAGGGGAAGTATCGTGCTATTGATTTCTGGCTTGCCAGTCCTTCTCTTGCGAAGGCGTGTCTGGACCCACGCTGTGCCTCAGACTGGGCAGCCAGACCCCACTTCCCCATCCTGCTCGATCTCTCGGCCCATCCTCGGGAGACGCAGCAGCTTTGCTTTCAGGGTCCCAAGGCCTTCCCCAGGCTCCCTCCCGAGCTTGCGGGATGTCACCCTTTGGAGGGCCCCCCAGGGCCCCAGCCTTATTTGGAGGTCCTTGCTGGGGATTCTGCTCTTGGGGTGCCCTCCGACACGAGTCAGCTTGCTCCTAGGTTGGACGCGTTGTATGGTTCCTT